CCATGCTCTGGTGTCTTCAAACTCTTAGAGAGATTCATCCAATCTCGACGTGATTGCCCCGGATTGACTGTAGTTGGCACAACAAAGTCTTCAAATTTTGCCCCAAAAGGTAAACAAGTTGGGAAAGCATTAACTGGGAGAAGCAACGTATCCATGTTCAAGGTCTTTAGGTGACATGCCACTGGATATGATTTTTCTTGAAATGATCTTCCAATTACTCAACAGAGCTTCAGGCCTTAAGAATAGACTCATCACTGGTGCTTATATGTGAGTTTCCTTGATATCAAACAAATGTTTTGCAGTTAGAAAATTTTATTATGAGAATGAAAATTCTAATGCAACAGTTATGTAAGTCTTGAAGATTTTGAAAAGATATCGCACAAATTTTGCGAGTTAGAACATCATTTGTTTTTGTATAGGAAAAACATATGATACCAACATAACTATTTAGAACATTCATGGGAGTCAGGAACACTATCTCATTGAAGTATGCTTTCAAAATAACCTTGCTTCAATTAGGACTTTTGAAGGTTGTAATGTGGTCTGGTTCATGGTTTTAGAAAAAAGGATTTAAGGCTCAAAGTATTCGGTGCCCACCCCCCTTCATGATGTTCTCCAATCCTATGTTCAGTTAATTCAACATGAGCGTTCATCTCCCAAAAGGATTTTGTGACGATTAAGGAAACGACGAGGCTTTCGGAGTAGAAACCACCCTCATGTCTTCGTGTTCGTAGTCACCAATTTGTTCTTTATTGAGGACTTTTCTTTGCAGTCCTTTTCTTTGCAATTTTTATTTTCCCTAACTTTTGCCTGAACTAATTCTTTTGAATTGATAGTCCAGCGGGATGCCTTAATTTTGCCTAAGTCACACGTTTTCATGTTTTTTGACTTAGCAGGCTTTTCTTTTTCTTGATTTTTGACTTTTTGAATAAAATGTGTGACATTAGCTTGGTCCGCTTGTTGAGAAGATTGTGATTTCCTCGTTTCTTGATGAATGAGGGATAACATTGTGGTTCCACATCCTTTAGATTCATTATACATGAAGGATAGCCCTCGTAGTTTCTCTTCAAAAAACATCTTCCTTATGATTTTCGAACACTCAGTCAGATTAACTAAAAACTACCCTGCCCCAGGTTAAAATTCAAGGTTTTTTCGTATAGAAAAGAAACTTCTACTTCAAGGCTCAAAAGAGGTTAGCAAGGGATTATCTTCCTTATATCTCCAGTGTTTAGGGATTTGAAACAATGCCTGTACATCATCAGCAAGATTTTATCCAAAAGCATGCAACCAGAGATTTTGTGTTCTTTAGATCATCATCCTCCCTTCAATCTCTGCCTAGGCAAGAGAATGGGCAACAAGTTGATATCATAATGCAAAAAGAAATTTAAAATTGAAAACAAATATGAGTGAAACGAATGAATTTCTTCACGACAAACATACCCATTGTATTAAGATAATCATTCAGATGCAAACAAGTTCTTACATGCAAACAATGTTTTGATAAACAAGAAAAACTACAAAAAGCATGAATAAGTTAATAATCTAGGAAGGCTTTCCATCTGGATTTGAATTACAGAAAACATCCTTCAAAACTCGAAGTGACCATCAATCGTGTTTACTCTTCGGCACATGCTTGATTTGAACTTCAAAACCAACGTCCTTGAATGACAAGATACCACTTCTGACCAACTTCTGAACTTCAATCTTCAAAGCAAAGCAACCCTCCAAGTCATGCCCAGGAGCACCTTGATGAAAGGTACAAGCCAAATCAGCTTTGTAGTACCAATGTATCTTCTCAGGAACCTTCGGTGGAGGTCGGGTCTGAACCAAATTCCTCTGCATCAGGATAGGGAACAACTCTGTATAGGTAATTGGAGTTGGATCAAACTGGGTTTTCCTCTGATTAGGGACTTGCTGATTCTGTTGATGAATAGGAGAAACATAATGATTCTGACGATGATTATTTCTTCCTATGGTTCTCTTCTTGGAAAATTTATTATCAAACTTCTTCACACCATTAGATGAGCTACCATATTCATATAAACATCCCTTTCCGACATCTTCTTCTAGACGCACTCCCCCATTCACCTTGTCAGGAAAGTCACTAGGCGCATTAATTATCATCTTCTCATGAATGAATGATTTCCGAGTTTCAGTGAAGACTTTTATCATCGCTTCCTTCCCCCTAGAAGGATTGACTTAGGAGGCAACCAAAATTTCAACCAAACCAGTTAAGTGCTCCATACTAGCTTTCAAAATAGTCATCTCTCTATGGAGTTTAGGAACCTCTTGCTTGATATTATCCAATGTTCTCTTAGCGCGAGTGTTGTACTGGTGAGACGAAAGGAAAAATACGACTCGGAAAAAGACCTTTGAAAGTGAAACAAAAAAATGTAGAAGGATGTATGATATGCAAAAGAGAGTTTTTTATTTGATTTTCAAGGAACTCAAGATATTAAGTTGTAAACATCAAAGTATGAAGATTGGATCAAAGCGTTGATCAAGTTATCATCAAGATCAATCATCCATTTTGGTGGATTAGGGTTTTCGCCCTATCAACACCCAAGATCCATTGAGCTTGACGAAACTTGTGATGTTTACAAAGAAAGACCTCCAAATTCCTTCAAAGTCAAGTGAAAAGGGTTTTATGGGTGCATGAATGCATGGCTATGCAACAACCACAAGCAAGGTCACAAATAAAGTCGAAAGGTTCAACGTCACGAGCATGGAGTCAAGGTAAGGAACACCCCCAAGGTATGTACTAACGGTTTAATCACACCTGTAGAACAAGGTTCTAAGAGTTCCCGGAGTCTACATTCCTCCTTCGGATATTACCAACATCTTGATTACTCAATAATCAGCAATATTCTCAAGAGAAACTCATCCGAGCGTAGCATCGCGTGACAATTACTTCCGGATTACTCCGTTATAATCTCCGCGCTACACCTAAAAGGCCAAGATGGGTTAGGGTTCTACGGTTCCCAGCTTCTCTGGCTCCCAGGTCGAGAATAATAATGTCTTCCCGATTACTCGGTAAACAAATATTAAGTTCAAAAGGGCCTTCCACTGAGTGGGGGATCTCATGCCTCCTTCTTCGGGATTACTCCCTCAAAGTTAACATGACTATACCTCCCGTCCTATTCCTAAGTGTAACTTAGTCCGGGTATAGGACTTGTCCTTTGTAAATATTATCAACACCCAAATAATCATAATATATACATATAATCAAACAATCAAATAATGATAAAACAGATAAAACAAATTAGGCTTAACCCACTTAGGGATGGACCAGCAAGAGGTCAATCTCTCCCCAGCAGAGTCGCCAATTCTGTAGCGGTGAAAATCGGAGATCAAGCTATTAATTAACTTGACTCACAAAAGCAAGAGTCGCCACCGCGCTTTATTATTTCCAAGGGAAAAGGGAAAAGAGCGAAATAAAACCCTAAAATATGCAATGTAAAGTAATATTTAAAAGTAATGAAAATACAATGCGTTTTTAAAAGAGATCGAGAGTTCGGGGGTTGGTTATACAATGGGAAGGTATTAGCACCCAATGCTTCTGCGGTACTCCGCAAGAACCTTTTGAAATATCTGTTTTTGGTTAAAATTGTTTGTTTGATTAAAATGGTTCGTTTGGCTAAAAGATGGGTATGGACGAGATTTTTGAAGATACGACGACCTAGTGTCGATGTTTTGGCTTAAAAGGTGTGAATTTGAAAATTGAGTTTTTAGGAAAGTTAACTTAAGATTAACAAAATAGTAAAACAAAATGAATGAAGGGACTCGCGCGATCGTGTAAGATATATTTGATGACATGAAGTCAACAAAGTTAAAATTCTTTCCCTTGGAGTTAATCATAAGCAGGTAGATCTAATATTCGAGTAAGGAAGCATAAATAATAAAAATTCACGAGAAACGAACAAGGTAGATAACAAGACAAATTGTAAGAAACTAAATGAGTGGATAAAGAAGAATCACAAATAAAAGAAAAGTGTAACAAAGAATCATCTAAATTAATTTGAAATTCTACGGTTACTAAGTAAACTAAACTTAAATTCTAAAGTGTCTAACTAAATTAAATAAAATTTTGAAGTTATTAACTAAAACTAAATTAAAATTCTAAAGTTACTAACTAAAATTCGAAAGTTATTAAATTAAATCTAAAATAAATTAACACTCTAATATTACTGAATTAGGTCTAAACTAAATTAATTCTAAAGTTGCTAAATTACATCTAAACTAGTTTAAGTATAAACTAAATTCATTATAAAATTACTAATTTAATCTAAACTATATTAATAATAAAATTACTAACTTAAATCAAAACCAAATTAATTCTAAATTAAATATTAAAATTCTAAGATTAAATTAAAATTCTAAAGTTATCAAAATATATCTAAACTAATTGGAAGTTCTAAAGTTATAAAATAGATCTAAACAAATTAAAAATTTTAAGTTATCAAAATATACCTAAACTAATTAAAGGTTCTAACATTACTAATTTATATCTAATTAAATTAAAATTCTAAAGTTTACTAACTAAACTAAAATTAAAATTACTACAATAATTCTAAATTTAAAATAATTAGTTCTAATTAAAAAGGAAAGTTTTTTTTGTAATTTTATATGATTATACTAACCAACCTAATATTAAATCTAATTTACTCTATATTTTTCAAGTTACTAGATTAAATCTGAAACAAATTTTTTAATGTTAATAGATTAAAACTAAATCGATTAAAAAATAAAAAAGGGTAATGTGAAAACAGAAAATACTCACAATGTAATACTCACAATTTGCATCCAGCTCTTTAGCCTTAATCCACATATCTGTGACAGAACCACTTGATTTGTGGATTTTTGGGAGAAATAATTTTGTTGATGAATATGGCAAGACAGCACGATAACCCTTTTTTCCCAAAGACATAAGCATTGCAGCTTGGCCAAAAGCCATGGCCAAATTGACAGTATAGATATCAGATTTAATAAAAGAAAGCATATCAGCTATGGAATAAGCATCCGTTTATGATCCGTGTGAAAACAATAGTCTTCCCACCCTTTCCATATGCATTTATAAGACCATAAAGAATTCTCCGCTCTGATGACGCAGTGGCTGATACAGCATAAAGTTTGATCCCCTCAGTAAGCTTTTCTTCTCTATCACCGACCAAATCAATAGTCAATGGATTGTTCAAATGTTTTCTTGACAACTTCTTGACCCAACCCGGCATGGTTGCAGAGAAAAGTATGATTTGCCGCTGAGACGGGATCCTTTCTAAAATCACTTCCACATCCTCCTCAAACCCAACAGCAAGCATCTGATCAGCTTCATTAAGTACCAAATACTGAATTTCACTAAGTCTAAGGCTTTTCCCATTTATCAAGTCAATTAGCCTTCCAGGTGTTCCGACGACAACATCAACACCACGCGAAAGCGCATTCCTCTGAATATCATAAGAAACACCGCCATAAACACAAACAGTGTTTAGATAAGGTGCATATTCTTGTATCTCCTTCTCTACTTGCTTAGCTAACTCCCTAGTTGGTGCAAGGACCAACACTTTAGGAAGTCGCCCAGATCGCCTCATTGTGCTTTGTCCATTCTCAGTGAGACTCTTGATAATTGGAATTCCAAATGCTAGCGTCTTCCCGGTCCCAGTCCTTGCACGAGCAATGATATCTCTACCTTCTATTGCAGGCAGCAACACAACTCTCTGAACGGGGAAGAGATTGGTAATTCCTCTTCTTCGGAGCGAGTCCACAAGCTGGGGAGGAAACCGAAGTTTGGAAATGTCGAGCTCGTCTTTGCTGACGGCAACGGGGAGGTGGTTGAGCTGGTCGTTATCGATATCAAAACCCTTGAAGGCTTCTTGAGCGGTGAGTGTGGGAGTGTTGGGAGGTGGTAGATCGGCTGAAGCTTCACGGAGAGACGGAGCGGAACGGAGGGTGCCGGTTGGGAGTATGCTGTGAAGTTGAGTTTGTGCGTGAAATATGAAGGAAGTTCACGGAGGATTGATCGAAGATGAAGAGGGATTGTGTCACGGTTGTTGTGTTGTTCGATGTGGATTTTGTGAGGCTAGCGGCAGATTAGAAGGTTGTGGACGGTAAGTTGTGAAGGGTTTAGTGGTGATAATGGAAAGCGGATGTTGATGAAAGAAGATTGAAGGGGTGATTTGGTTGAGTGTGAGCGTGGGTTGTTGGTTGAGAGGGTGGGTTCTCAATAGGCAAGCATGTAACTACTTTACACGAAATAGAGACTTGCAAACATTGGTAAGTTCAGAATGGAGTCACTGAAACCGAGTCAACATTAATTTTGATAACAAGTAACAATGTAAAATTGTTGTGTGATTTATAGTAACAACAACAACAACCACCTAGGATACAAGTATGAAATAATATTGTGCTTCTTAAAGAACAAGAATAGCTGTAGTTTGCAGCTTTTAAGGTTATATGGAATGGAAGGCGATTTATTGTTAGCAGAAGAAAAATAGAGAGTTAAAGAGGTTATTGTGTTGGATTTTTTTTCTTCCCCTTCACAAAGAAAATGAAGGCTATTTAAATAGTCAGATGAAGAGGAAAAAATGATTTCAGCTTGCAATCATATCCGTCCATTAATTTTCATAATCCTGCACAACTTCTATCAACCAATCAAAATAAAGCCTAGTTCAAAAAATAATTTTAATGACCAAAAAGAACTTTAATGATAAAAATAACTTAAAAACTGAAAAGAGAAAAAAGTAATGCAATTTAAAATGATTTTTTTGAATTTTTCTGACTAAAAAATAGAGACCCGAAAATGACTAAAAACGATGAAAAATGGACAAAAATCCAACCGAAAAAATGAAGTGAACACATTAAAATAAACTACATGTCACAAAGATTAAAGAAAAAATATTCAAGAAGTCAAAAATCAAAATAAAATAATAATAAAAATATCAGACTAAACAGACGTTTAAGGTTAAAAACGAGACTTTGAAATGTATCGAAAAAATACAACGAGCATGCCGTCATAATCTACGCGAAGCGCAGATTCATAAAATGATCGGTAAAAGGTGAAAACTTGAAATATTTTTCTCGCTAACTTTTCGCACATTGTTGAATCGCTTTTAACAGTTTGTCTATAAAATCAAAATATTTTTATTATCGACATATAAACAACTTGGAGCAATGCAAGAAACGAGTAAAGAGATAAAAATGCATGAAGTGAAATGTCAAGTATTTTTTAACTGAAAGACGATGCAAACTTTGATTTAAACTGACTTTTTCTGGTCAACTTAAATACGACTAATGATGCAAAAATGTGATGAATGAAGATATTTACTAATGATCGTGACCAAATAACAAAATATGATATGAAAGTGCGACTAAAACATATTAGGGGCGAAATTAAGGGGGCAACGGTGTGCCTTGATGAATCAGTCTTCGAGAATCCACAATCAACCGTACTTCTGGCTTGGGAGACTCAAAACCTTAATTGAGGCACGACACCTGATGCTCTTGATTCAGACTTGTCTCTGCACATGAAACAAAAGAAAACATGAACATACACCTTTGTATGCGATTAGAAATTAGTGATGCATAGGCTAAAAATGTTCAAAACACTTGACAATCTTCGCATAGTCAAAGCTCGAAGGTGAGAGGTTAAAACCAACCGTATTTCGCGACCTTGACTTTTGTATAAAAAATGCAAGTGGGATCTTAGGTCAAAAATTGGGGTACAACAGAGTGCAGCCACCTATTTCTGATAGGGAACTAGTGGATATGTTCTTGGGGACCCTATCTGGCTCGTTCTTCAACCATTTGATCGGGAGCTCTTCCGCAGGCTTTACTGAATTGATTCTGACTGGCGAACGAGTGGAAGCTGGTATTAAGAATGGGAAGATTCAAAGGGATGCCTCTGCATCTACAACTATTAAGAAATCATTTCCGGCCAAGAAGGAGGCAGCTGTTATATACTCTCAGAAAAGATCGGGAAGAACTGAGCGCCGGCCGACTGTGGGGGCCGTGATGATCCAAAATTCATCAAATGATAAGCCTCGTAACAATCAGTCTAGACCTAACCAGCAACGGGTAGAACGGCCACAATGGCAGTTCACCCGCATCAATATGACACCTGTGCAAGTTCTTCCCCATTTGTTGAAGCTAAATCTCACCACTATCAAAGAGGCACCAAAAAATGTGAACATATCTTCCCCACATTATCATCCCAATGCTAAATGTGCCTATCATTCTGACAGCGTCGGGCATGACACCAACGATTGTTGGGCACTTAAGCATAAAATTCAAGACTTGATAGATGCAAAAGAGGTTGAGTTAGATGCTCCAGAGAAACCAAATGTGATATCCGCTCCAATGCCGAAGCATGGTCGCAATGTCCATGCTATTGAAGAAGATCTGTATGTTTTTGCTGTTGATGATCTGATGACTCCACTGTTGACAATCAAGTTGAATCTATTGAAGGCTGGGATTTTCCCGGGATGTAAAGAAGACTGCTACTGTTGCTCCTCCCTACCAATCGACTGTCCATTGCTGAAGGTAGGCATCCAAGGCCTAATGGACAGTCAACAAATTCTTTTTGAAAAGATTCCTGCTACTCCAACCCCTATCAAAGATGTTTCAATAATCACCATTTCCACCAATCTTTCCAAGGTCCCTAAAAAGCCTGTTAAGATTACATCCGCTACGAAGTTTGTTCCTTTGAAAATAACCATGCCTGGGCCTGTCCCCTACATTTCTGATAAATCAATACCATGGAATTATGGTGGAGAAATCTACTACCATGGTGTTAAACAAGTTGAGATAACTGAAGAAAGCTCTGACAAAGAAGATGCCAACATTGGAAACATTGCCGGTACAAGCAAGATTACCCGAAGTGGGAGAATATTTTCTCCAGAGATTGCCCCTCCAAAGGCAGTCTTTGGACCCTCAGCTGCTGCCAAAGTTACTCTTGTGCCAATAAAACTTTCTGCAAGAATTCCGTTGATTGAAGAAGCTGTTACTCCTATGGTTGTTCCTCCTACTTCTGCTGATAAGGGGAAAGGGATCCAAGATGAGCTCGTCAGGACGAGGGCTCAATCATTGGTCATCCCCGAAACCTCTAAGAAAGAAATGGAGGAGATTCTGAAAATAATTAGGAAGAGTGATTATGATGTGGTAGAGCAACTGGGGCAAACCCCCTCGAAGATCTCCATGTTAGCATTACTGCTTTGTTCTGAGGCTCATGCCAAAGCATTGATAAGATTTATGAAGACAACCCATGTTCCCCAGGAAACCTCAGCCGATCAATTCTAAGATTGTGTAGCCAGCCTTACTGCCGACAACGGCCTGGGTTTCTCTGATGCTGACCTGACTCCGAAGGGAAGAAAGCACAATAACGCATTGCATGTGTCAGTTGAATGCCTAGGAACTACTCTGGCCCATGTTTTGGTCGACACTGGTTCTTCTCTGAACGTGCTGCCTAAGAAAGCTCTGGATCGATTAGATTGTGAAGGCTTAGAGCTGAAACCAAGTGATATCATTGTCAGGGCCTTTGACGGGTCTAAAAGAATGGTACATGGGGAGGTCAACATCCCTATCAAAGTAGGAACTGAAGTATTCCACTCAACTTTCTATGTGATGGACATCCGTCCGTCATACTCTTGCTTGCTAGGGAGACCATGGATACATAATGATGGCGCAGTCACTTCCTCCCTACATCAGATGCTGAAATACCCTGTCAAAGGAAAGATTATAACTGTACACGGTGAATAGGAATATATGATCAGTCACTTGAACTCCTTTCGGTATGTGGAAGTAGAGGGCGAATTCATTGAGACGCCGTTCCAACACTTCGAGGAAATTGCTCCCGAGGTTGCTGTAGCAAAGGCAGTTGCTGAGATACCCAAACAGGTGGCCAGGATGGCATCTCTGAAAGACGCAACGGCTGCAATAAAGGAAGGGAAGAGCTCAACATGGGGTCAGTTGCCTGATTTTCCTCATAAAACAGACAAGTTTGGGTTGGGATTTACCGCTGCGGGGCAAAAAGTTATGCGTCGCTCAAAAATTGAAAGGACACCCATCAGGATTTCTCCTCATGGGATCAATGCTTTGGAAGACGAAGACGAAGAGGGTAACATTGAAGACTGGATCTTCCCAACCATCGGAGGGGGACTGCACAACTGGGAGGCGAAATACTTCGTCGCCATTACTTTCATTAATCAGTAATTTATCTTTCAAACATTTTCTGTTGGTCTGTAATAATTACTTTTGAACAATCTGCACACTACTTTTTCACCTCATGCCTGGCCCGGGGCATGTAGATCCATTTGTAAGGGTTTTGATTCTCTTCATATTCATATGCCATGTTTAACGAATCATTGGACGTTTTTCATTTATAAACTGCTGTGTTCATTTTCTCTCCTTTTGCATTTTTGTTTGTTTAAGGATGGTTATCCCTTACACACACCCACACTCACAAATGCAGGTACCCATCCACTCTGGATTCTATGGGTGACTATTCTGCTGTATCCTTCAATAACTCTGAAGATTTGGTCAATCAGGTTGAGTATGAAGATGATGAAGATTGTGAAGTACCAGGAGAGCTAGCCAGACTTCTACAACAAGAAGAGAGGGCCATCTTGCCTCATGAAGAGCTGTTGGAAACAGTCAACTTAGGAACAGAGGAAGACCGGAAGGAAGTGCAAGTGGGTTCCAATTTGGAACCAAGTGTCAAGGAGCGTTTAATACAGCTGTTAAATGAATACGTGGAAATCTTCGCCTGGTCTTATGAAGACATGCCGGGTTTAGACACAGACATAGTGGTTCACCGTCTCCCTACAAGAGAGGATTGTCCACCGATCAAGCCAAAGGTCCGCCGAATGAGGCCCGACATGTCTGAGAAGAATAAAGCAGAAGTAATGAAGCAGTTCAACGCTGGCTTTCTGGTTGTTACATCCTATCCACAATGGGTTGCTAACATCGTGCCAGTTCCTAAAAAAGATGGCAAGGTCAGAATGTGTGTGGACTACCGGGATTTAAACAGGGCTAGCCCTAAAGATGATTTTCCGCTACCGCATATCTACATTTTGATTGACAACACAGCTCAGCACAAGGTGTTTTCCTTCATGGATGGATTCTCGGGCTACAACCAGATCAAAATGGCCCTCGAGGACATGGAGAAAACAACCTTTGTTACACAATGGGGTACTGTTACAAGGTGATGCCGTTCGGATTGAAGAACGCAGGGGCGACTTATCAACGCGCCATGGTAGCTTTATTTCATGATATGATACATCATGAGATCGAAGTTTACATAGACGATATGATAGCTCGATCACAAACAGAGGAGGAACACCTTGAACATTTGCAGAAGCTGTTTTCCAGGTTGAAAGAGTACAAACTCAGGCTGAATCCAAGTAAGTGCACTTTTGGAGTTAGGTCTGGTAAACTCCTAGGGTTTATTGTCAGCAACAAGGGCATTGAGGTCGATCCAGCAAAAGTGAAGGCAATACAAGAGATGCCTGCCCCCCGTACTGAAAAGGAGGTTAGAGGGTTCTTGGGGCGCCTGAACTATATTGCTAGATTCATCTCTCATCTGACGTCTACCTGTGAGCCAATTTTCAAATTATTGAAGATAGATCAGGTAATCGAATGGAATGACGATTGCCAAGTTGCTTTTGATAAGATCAAGGAGTACTTGCTAGAACCTCCTATTCTGATGCCACCCGTCGAAGGAAGGCCACTGATCATGTATCTGACCGTTTTGGATAACTCAATGGGGTGCGTATTGGGCCAGCATGACGAGTCTGGTCGAAAAGAGCATGCCATTTATTACCTTAGCAAAAAGTTTACTGACTGTGAGACCCGCTACTCACTGCTCGAGAAAACTTGCTGCGCTTTGGTATGGGCTGCTCGCCGACTAAGGCAGTATATGTTGACTCATACCACTTTGTTGATTTCCAAAATGGATCCTATCAAGTATATCTTCGAGAAGCCTGCTTTATCTAGAAGAATTGCTAGATGGCAAATGATCCTGACTGAGTATGACATCCAGTATACTACCCAAAAAGCTATAAAAGGGAGTGTACTAGCTGAACATCTAGCTCATCAAGTTATCGAAGATTATCAATCCATGAGATTCGACTTCCCGGACGAGGACATCATGACTTTGGACAACGTTGAAGGTAACGGACCGTATGACGGACATGGAAATGGATCCCGATGGACCCTGTACTTTGATGGTGCTTCAAATGCACTTGGAAACGGTATCGGTGCGGTACTCATTTCCCCGGAAGGTTGCCACACACCTTTCACGGCCTGACTTTGCTTCAGCTGCACCAATAACATGGCTGAATATAAAGCCTGCATCTTTGGTCTCAAGGATGCTATAGACTTGGGGATCAAATCTTTGATCGTATTTGGGGACTCGGCTTTGGTTATCAGTCAAATCAAAGGAGAGTGGGATACCAAGCATCCTAATCTTATCCCATACAAAGAACATGTCCTAATTGTTGCCTCATTTCGAGCAAATCACCTTCGAGCATTTCCCGCGAGAAGAGAATCAGTTAGCAGATGCTCTGGCTACAATGTCTTCCATGTTTAAACTCAACTGGGATAACGAGGCTCCCCAAATCACCATCGAGCGAATGGATGAACCTGCGCATTATCATGAGATTAACACCGAAGAAGTAGTGGAACAACCTTGGTTTCATGAAATCAAAAGGTATCTCCAGACTAGAGAATATCCCGAAGGAGCTTCCGTAAATGACAAGAAGTTCCTAAGGAAGTTTGCTGCCAAGTTCTTCCTGAGCAACAACATCCTCTATAAACGCAGCCATGATTGTGTTTTACTCCGATGTGTGGACAAAGCTGAAGCAGAGTTAATCATGACTGAGATGCACAATGGCACATTTGGCACCCACTTGAGCGGGCATACGATGGCTAAGAAGATTCTAAGGGCAGGCCATTACTGGTCTACCATGGAAGCTGATTGCCATCAACATTCCCGTACTTGCCACAAATGTCAAGTCTACACTGACAAGATTCATATTCCTCCGGTTCCCCTCAAAGTTCTGACAGCTCCTTGGCCATTCGCAATGTGGGGCATTGACATGATTGGAGATATCAAGCCCACAACGTCCATTGGACATCGCTTCATCCTGGTCGCCATTGACTATTTTACCAAATGGGTCGAAGCAGCTTCCTTCGCCTCTGTTACAAAAAATGTGGTTGCCCGCTTCATCAAGCAAAACCTCATATGCTGGTATGGTATACCCGACAGGATCATCACAGAAAATGGTACAAATCTGAATAATACTATGATCACCGCTCTATGCGAACAGTTCAAGATTTATCATCACAATTCATCTCCCTATCGGCCGAAGATGAACGGTGCTGTTGAAGCTGCGAACAAAAACATTAAGAAGATCATTCAGAAAATGACAGTCACCTACAAAGACTGGCATGAGATGTTACCGTTTGCTCTGCACGAATACCGTACCAAGACACGTACTTCAACCAGGGCAACCTCCTTTTCTTTGGTATATTGCATGGAAGTTGTCCTGCCCATGGAAGTTCAGATTCCTTCTTTAAGGATTATGAAGGATGCTGGTTTGAATGAAGACGATTAGATTCAGACCCGACTTGATCAACTCAATTTGATCGACGAGAAACGACTCGCTGCTGTTTGCCATGGTCAGACGTACCAAAAACGGATGATCAAGGCCTTCAACAAGAAAGTCAGGCGTCAAGTATATCAAGTCGGAGATCTCGTAATCAAGCGGATTATCTTACTGCAAAGTGAT